GCTCTGCCCTTCAGGACTGTCTCCCAAGGGACTCTCTCAACCAATTGATAGTCTCTTGTGAAAACAGGTGGGATTCATTGTCTGAACTCATCTGAGGTGGTGTAGAGTATCTGAGACACCTGCATGGGGCTGGCAGACTTGAGTTAAGATACCCATCCAGACCTGCGCTCCTCCATAGCAGCAACTTTAGGCCAAGTGGGTTGACAGTCTCTTGTGAAAACAGGTGGGATTCATTGACTGAACTCATCTGAGGTGGTGTAGAGTATCTGAGACACCTGCATGGGGCTGGCAGACTTGAGTTAAGATACCCATCCAGACCTGCGCTCCTCCATAGCAGCAACTTTAGGCCAAGTGGGTACCCTGCAGTGTCTGAAATGATAATTGACAGCTACCGAGAGAAAGCTGGATCCCACCCTAACAGCTTCCCAAGTGTGAAAAACTTGCTTGCTCGCAGTCCTGGGCTGTGCTGTCAGCTACCAACTGTAGCATCTCTGAATGTGCTCCGCTGGCATTCAGTCTGGTGACTACAACCATAAAACAAGGAAATAAAAGCAGTTCCTCCCTCTACCCATCCGTCAAAAGGAGAGGCATTCATGGCAAATGTAAACACAGCTCAGGTTCAGCGTAGGCACGCACCTGCCTGACCATCCCTGGGGGCTGTTCCTACAAGTCGAACCTTACACCATTGTGGTCACCCTTGTCACCACCACATCCCGGCATGTATTTGGTCTGGTGACCCTCTGAGGAACCTCCCACCACGCAGGCTACACCCTGTCTGTTTTGTGACAATTAGACTAAGGAGGACACTCACCAGAATTTGTTTTCCTTAAAAGTAGTATCCAAATCCAGCTCTTTGAAGATGAGAGGAGCAGGGCGTCTTTCCTGTAATGATTTTCCTGAATCATAAAGCCAGGTGTATTTTCCTCACTCTGTAAGAAGCTTTGGTGGAAGTAATGCAACTGCAACACAACATTGCGTAAGCAGCTCACACCAGTATCTTCCTTTCACATTTCTTAGTGGTTTTTTTTCCCCTGCTACAGCAGAAGGTATTTTCATGTAATGAAACATGTAACTTATTTTCTACAATTTCTATGGTTTCTATAATTACAGAATTAGAAGAATAAGAATTTAGAAGACATTTCTGTAATTTATTCATTCACAGATAATCTAACTATCTATTCTATACCTATCACTATTTGCTCGAATACATATATAGTAACTGCTTTAATGCAACAGCTGAGATGGTATTGCCCTCACACACACACCCACTCCAGCAATAAAAATCATCTTGACCCATTCAAAAAGCCTCCAGAACTGTCAATTATATGACGTTAAAAAAGGCAGATTACTCGACAAAAGTCTTGGCTAGAGAAATGATTGCAGGCATAAAGAGCATGGTATGCATATGATCAGATGCCAAGGAAGGTTTTCAGCAATTCCAGGCAAGGCATTTTTTTGGGTCCCATGAATTCATGCAATAAATGCCACTAGCAGAAGACTCAATGCCCACACTGTCCAGCAGCCTTGCCCACAAGTCCTTTTCTCCGTCATCACCCACAGTACATAAATGTTGGGTTGCTCCTAGGCTCTCTTCTGGAGTGAAAGAACTCTTCCTGAAACAAAACCCAGCTGCTGTTTCGGTAACTTGCTCAAGAGACACTCCCAAAATGCAGCACGGACAAGGCTGAACCAGTTTTGGCTTCCTTTGCTGTATACAAACGTGCAAAGCTAACTCAGCAGGCTCCGATCCCTCAAACGTCACATCCCCTTTTGTTTCATGCCGTTAATTCCAGTGGGCTGCAAAAAGACCCAGCCCTCGCATTACTTCAGACTTTTGAGCTGAAAACCAAGCAAAACATACTGACAATAATAATTATGCCTTATGGTCATGGCCTCACCGTCTGGGGCCAGAGGAGATACACAGCCAAACGCTGTGAGCGTGGACCTGGCCGGTCTGTTCTAGAGAAGGCTGATGTGGAGCAACGCGATGCTGCTGCAGCGCTTGGCCTGGGGCTAGGGACTGCTCCCTGCAGGGGAGCGGCCTTTGGCACCAAAGCTGCGGCCACCGTCTGTCTGTGAGGACGTGCGTGGCAGGGGGAATACCAAAGGTTTCTAAAGCCTCTTCTCTAGAAGTATCTTGCTTCATTTTGGAAACACTGACATTATCTGAAGGGGGTACGCTCCGCACACAGTGGTGTACAAAGACTGCCGGTTTGGTGTGGCTCCCGAAAGCTCACGGCTCCCACGAGCGCTTCTCCACTGCCAAAAGTGCCAAAGTTGACAAGAAACAAAGCAGCTTTTAGGCAAGAAAATCGACATGTCCTGACCCTTCTTGGCAGCTGAGAACTGTCCAGGGTGGGGTTTAACATAAGAAAGTGTGGACAGGGTTTCCGCTCCTGAATCATTAGGGGCTGGATTTGAATCGTTTGCTGCTTCTGCTCTACAATGCCCTTGCAGCCCTCTAACGCTGCAGTCCTTCTCTGTCCCTGCAAGTCATCCCCGTATCTCCTCTCCATCCCACACGCTCGTTCTCGGCAGGCTTCTGGCTCAGTACGTTTGTGATGCATCCAAACTGACTGGTTGACCTGGTGGTTTTCCACATCGCTTGTGACCTTGGGCTCCTTTCAAACCAGCCCCGTGCTGACGCAATGTATACGACTTTATGACACAAACTCTTCTTGATCCTGCAGGAATTGTACTTCCTTTCTTTAAAGCATTTAAAAAAATAGATCAGAGAAGATCATGTGAAGAAACCACGGAGCTGCAAGCCAGGGGTTTTAATCCCTCCTCTGTCACCAGCTTGCCATGCGATCTCTGCCCTTGGGCATGCAACTCCTCTGCGATGCTGCTCTCCCCAGAGGAACTAGCAGATAACGGAGATTATTTGTTGGTGTAATACTCTCCGAGACGTAGGCAAGAAAAGAGGATGCAGAGGATGCGCCAGCGAAAAAATCCCCCAACGGGTAGGCATCTGTGAGCCACACCGCTGAGATAACCACTGCCTGCCTGCACCCCAGCAGCACGGGCAGGCAAAGGGCACAAAGCGACCGTTCGGGGCTAAAGCCGTGCAGCGTGGCGTCCTCGGCACGCCGTCTCCAGCAGGAGAAGAGTACGTGCTTCCTCGCATAGCGTCTGTGTGCATCCCGAACCAGGGGACTGCACTCAAGGTTACCTGAACATGCAATTAAGGAAAAAAAAAAAAAATAGAATAGAGTAGAATAAAATAAAACTGATATACTTTTTAAAGAATCCTTCACTTTCTTTTGACTGTTTTTGTTACCCCAGCCCCCCCTCCCCAGAGCCGCACCACAAGAAAGGATCGCCCCGACTCCGCTCTCATTTTAAAATGCTTCTTTTTATTTTAAAATAAAACTGATATACTTTTTAAAGAATCCTCCACTTTCTTTTGACTGTTTTTGTTACCCCAGGCCCCTCTTCCCAGAGCCGCGCCACAAGAAAGGATCGCCCCGACTCTGCTCTCATTTTAAAATGCTTCTTTTTATTTCAGTGGTTGTACATTGGGTGAATGAATTTAACGTCACAACAGAAATAGAATGGCTATTTAACAGACCACTAGTAGTTATATGCTGAAAAAGAGTGAATGGAGGGGTTTCTTTGAACTGTTACCGAAATACTCATCGTACACGTCGTCAATTATGCTGGATGAGAGAGGCAAACGAAAAGGTATTTTGGTGAGGTGCTGTATCCTTTGAAGAAAATAAACGCTGAGACATCTCAAGTAACTTGAAACCATGTCCCAGCTACAGTATTCACTGTCTCTGTGTTGGCCCATCTCATGGTTCTTTTAGGGGGTTTTATTTGTTGGTGTTTTTTTTTTTTAATTAAACAAAGCATTTAATCATTTTCATTAGACTTTTTTTTTAAAATATAAACAAAGTTTTGGCAAATAATATTTATACAGAAAAATAGTTTTAGATCTTCCCAAATTTTGAAATAGTCTATAAAATTACTTTATAAATAAATAAAATGCAGAATCTGTTGTACACGTATTTGCACATCTCTGTAATTGCCTCCTTACTGTTAGCATAGGGTTGTACTTGTACAGTTTTCAGGAATATTACAAAGTCATAAAGTCGGAAAGTGGATCTCTTATTAAAAATACATTTTCTCTTTTTGTCTGTCAGTTTATCTGGATGAAAGACCTGATGTATCTGAAGCTTCGTCATCCATGGGCAAAAAATAGTAGTATTGGATTAATTGTAAAAAACATAGAATAACAGTTATTTCGAAACATAAAAAGTTCACACAAAACAATGTCTTGAAGAGTTATCTACATCAAATATTTAAACAACATGGATAATTTACCATTTAGTATTATACAATAAGCTACCCAAATGCCTAAATTAACTATTATAAAAAAATAAAAACAACTTTGACAGATATAGGCCAGTTGCAGTGTCAACTACCTAGTTATAATGACTGAGAAAGTCTACAAATGTTAGTGTTTTAATAGTATATAATGGTGATACCTTAACTGCTAAAGTAACGAGTTAAGATACATTATTTTTCCACAAATTAAAACTAACGCAACGTTACAAGCACTATGTTAATTTTACAATCAAATTGTGATTATTTTTTTCTTTCTGATGATCAAATCTCCAGCTTTATATATAAATAGATAGTAATTAGACATCGGACAAACAAGATTTAGCCCGGAAAATAATTTCCTAGACAAATAATTATATGGTTAGTGCCTTCAGTCGTTCAGAACGGGCAGTGCTGCCAAAGTTTAAAATAGTTTACAATCAATCTGAAGAGGTTAAGTTAAAATACTGCAATCACTAATAATGTCCACATAGAAAACTTATGCTGCAAACAATTATACATAATATCCTTTTATAACAGCTGTCTTGTTTTTTTAAACAATAATTTAAAAACTATGTCATTTATGTGATACATGTGCAACATATAAAATGTGAAATATGAAATATTTGGTACAATAGTGCTTGAAACAAATCTCAAATCAAACAAATGAAATTTTAATTATACATATATAATTACCTTGTAAATCAACAAAGTATTTAAAAAAGTAAACAACATTAAAATCTGCTTCATCCATATATATGTATGTATGTATATATAATATGTATATAATTGTATTAAAGATATCTTCATACTTTTGTGACATAAAATATGTTTTTAAAGAAAAACAATTAAAAGAACTATTTTTTTCTCCACTCTAATCTGGTTACAATCGTATAATCCAATTAAAAAAATGCAAATACAGTAATGATTTATTGAACTGAATCTCATTCTACATTCTTAGTGTTCAGTTAATAGCCTAGATTAAAGTCACCTATGAAGTTTCAGTGACTCAACTGAGTTTTAATTAAATTAGAGTATCATACAAATCTCTTCATCTACAGCCTTCTTTTTCGCCTTTTCTTTTGTTTGTTTGGTCTTTTTTTTGAGTCTTTTTTTTGTTTGATTTTACACTTCTAGAAGTTACTTCTTAACAGCTTGGATCTTTTTGGTAACCTGACTAGGAGTTTGAAAGATTATTCGCTTCCGGTGAGATTTGACTGTTGGCATCAGGCTCACTTTCATCAAGTCTGATGTGACAAAATTTAGGCACTTCTGCAAAGTCTCTTTTAAAAACATTATAAATATACTTGTAAAATAATATTCTCAAGACTTTGTTCTTTTGGGGATTGAAAGGGGTATGAAGTTCATACTGTGCAAAATTTTTTAATTTTCTTCTGCTATTCTGCTATGATTCAAATGCAGCTTCTCCATACAAGTCAAACACCAACCATGTGCATCTAAAGAACTTGTGCTTTACTTTGGACTTCTGGCTAAAAATATTCAGATTGGCAGGGTGATGTGCAGGACACTGGGCTGCGTTTCGCTTCCTCTGTCTTGGAATCAACTCGCTAGGGGAGCAAGAACAAGATTTTTTTTAACGAAGAAGAAAAACCCCAATCATAGTTCGGGTGAAAATTAAACCTGCAACTGGGGTAAGTTTTTAGCCGATACAACTTAATTATTGCTGCGCTCGAAAGATTCATAAACACTGAATCTCACAAGACTAACTTAACTGGACCGTTTCCGTTAGGTATAGTTATGGAGAAAAGACAATATTTGCAAGGATTAAACTATGCTTAGAAAATCTTTAAAACTAAATGTTACCCTTTATGTCTTGAAACATCACAGCTGGTATCAGGTAGTTAACTATTTTAGGTTGGAGTATAGTAAGCATACCATATTTAATATTCATATATGACATAGCAGCACTAGCTTTTTCGAGTTTGTGATTTGTCCGTAAGAACAAATTCTTGACTTAGCATGCAGTTTGTGGCAACTCTAGAGAGGAGGAGACGGGGTAGTATGTACAGTAGCCGTGCTTGGCCGTCCGCAGGGAGGCTTCGTGACACTCCGTTCCGCTCCTGCCAGCTATTTCAGGATTATCTGTTAAGAGAAAGGAAAGCGTGATCGCGCTTTTAGGCGACGGGGGGAGAGCAGTTCGCCCAGACGGCTGGCACTGGACTAACTAAGCTCGGGCGCAGCTCGCACGGGACAGCATCCCGTACGGGACAGCATCCCGTATCCTCACGCTGCCTGGGAGGCGTTTGCCTTTCACAAACCTGGTCATCCTCTTCCCGCGCACACGTCCTCAGGTGCGTGAGAACATGCAGAGGGGGTGTTTTATGTGTCAAAATACTGGAGACCGCGCCGAAGACACAACGGAAGGGCCTGGCCGTAGGTAGGGTGCACACCCTCAGCGCCCTGGCGGTCAGCGGAGGAGGAAGCAGCCCTGGCCTCCCGAGGAGGCTCACAAGTGCATCGGTGCCTGGTGCAATTCTCCAGCTCCCACCCTGCTCCCACAAAGTCAAGAACGACCAAGGGAAACGGTGGAGGCAGGGCCCCTCGCCACTAACAAGCAAAAAAATATACTGGGCTGGGTGTTTTCAACAAGCTAAAGTGTCTTTTCAATGCGCTTTTAGCAGCTGCTTATTTACTAAAAAAAATTATCTGCAGGTCAGCAAACTTGAGAGGTTTTTCACGCTTCCTTATGTCAGGAGATCCAGGGGGATGATAGTAACGGTAACTCTGCGTGCCTAGCTAGTCACTAACCTTGCTGCTTTACCTCCGCAATGTCTCAAACTGAGGGTGAAGCAACCATTTTACAGACGCAAACTCTCGCGCTTCCAATACTGAGAAGGTTAAATGCACAATGTGCCCAGCAACCGACTCAACCTGCTCACAGTATTGAAAAACAGTCCAGATTTCCATCACCTGCCTGAAACTGCTGTCAGTGAAAGTGATGTCAAAAGCCAGGGGTGTGATGTTTTATCACGTCACTGCTAATCTGTGCTCCAGACTTAAGCGCAAGTCAAGGAATCAGAGTGCATCGCCCGCTCTTCCTGTTTAATTTGGCACTCGACGTATTTTTAAGCTGTATTTGTAAGGTGGTATGCAAGACAGTCATGACAGCGCTTTGACCTACTTCTGTATTACGAAGCTAGACCACTGCTTAGTGCAAGGTTTATTTTAAAAGGAAAAAAAAGAAAAAGGTGTTTTGAAAATAACTTCAGCAACATACTACCTCTGACATACGGACTGCCAAAAAGAAACACGCTTGCCTCCGCATGGAAGGCGCTTGTTCTAGTCCCCTGCCCGGTCACATTTTAACACACCTGCAGCCACTGCATGAAGCCTGCTCTGAAACCAGAGAGGATTGCTTTGTTCTGGGTACAGCATGGCACGGCATGCCATCAAGACTCCTAACTACTACAGACAACTGCCTAGAAACCTCAGTTCAACAAAAATATTGCCAATGGGATGAAGCATTTGCAGGAGCGATGTAAATGCTGTCACTCCTGAGAGTCGCCCTCCTTTCTCCTCGAGGAGGAGGAGAGGAGTCCGGTTCTGGAGAGAGGCAGGATATGCAAAATCTCTGAACCCCAGTTCCTACAGCACCTACAGCTTGTCCCTTCTGCTTGAGCTTGCCATCCGACCAACACAGCAGGAGTGACAACTCCCGTTGCTCTGGGAGGCAAGGGACCGTCTCCATCGCTATTTGCTCTCTGTACGCAACTGCCAGCTCCCTGACCCCACCGAACTTGCTGGCGTGCCAAAGAGTCATCTTTGATTACCATCAGCACTGAAAATCTGATGACACGTGAGGCCCCATTGTAATGACACTGTACAAGCACCTGCTGCTCCAAAGGGCTTAACATCTAAATACATCGTACATACAACAAGGACATATATTTTTAATGAACTTCCACCCATTGTGAGTTTGTTAGCTTATCACCTATCTTCTGTTTCCTATTGAAATAACAAAGAAATACCTTTGCTGGAATAATAAAGCCCTGCCCCGTGATAGCCCTGGTCCATCTACAGCACGGTGATTTGACAGTACGTACAAAGAATGTAGCTGTGCTGAAAATAAGAAGTGACCAAGATTATCAGCACTGATATTTTTAGCATGTTACAACCCAACATGTCAATGTAATTAATAAAGCAGCTTTAGCTCTACTGGGTTAGCCATAATCACGCAAATGTATTTAAAGGATCCTAAGGTCTGATTTAATGGGACACAACCTGAAATCTACTCAGTGTAAAAAAACAGAATTTCAGACACTGCAGCTGCCTACATCGTCTGCCAATATTTGAGGGGATAAACTTGCTTTTTCCTACAGCTTTTTTCTCCCTGTACAGGGAGACAGATCACTGCCCCTTATGCCGAGATGTCCTAAAATGTCAAACAGCCCCACAAGACTGCTGCTCCTAATTCCTCCAAAATGAGTGACAGAGGAGGCAGAAGGCCTAATCTCAGGCTGTATCTCGGGAAAAGGGTAGGACTATCCCTGGCGCTTTGATTAACCCAAGTGCAATTCACCCTGCCATGTGCCAGGCAGGACGGAGGGGCCCTGGGCAGCGTGAAAAAGCAAGGGACCCCATCTCTGCTCCGCTCCGGCGAGCGGCAGAGCCCAGGTAAGGACTTCCACCGCCCCGTCCCTATTCCTGCCGTTTCCCCCCTCCGCTTGAAACTCAGGAAACAGCGAAGACAATGTAAACACTTTCCTTTTGTGCGCAAGCACGTCCTGTTTACACGGCTGAGGGTATAGGAGGAGCAGCTGGAGCTCTCCCCGCTGCGGGCTTCTCCCGCTGCCAGCGGCTACGGAGCCGGCTTGCTCCCACCACATCGTCCTCGCCACGCCACCGCTCGTGCAGGGGATGTAACTAGGGCATGTTGCACCCCGGCTATTTCTAGTACACGTAGGAGTCCTCCTAGGAAAAAAACCTCAAGTCCCTCCTTCAGAACAAGGTTCTCCAGTGTGGAGACACAGAACTGAGGAGCTACTTTTTTTTTTTAACCTTAGCCGCAAAGTGTAAAACGTATCCCGTAGTCTTTAATTATATGTTCACACCCTATTTCTCAAAAGACATCACAACTCTGCCGTAGCTACATACACACGTATCAGCTTCTGCAACTGTTTTTTTCACTGTGTCTGACAGAGGAACATAAAATGCTAAACTACTTTACATGGAAAACACACTGTGAACCTCTTCTGTTTCATCTACAAACGAAGTAATAAACTGTGATGGAAGACAGGCTATCTAAGTCTGCATTGCTGCTAATTGCTCCATCACTTGCATGCTAAAAAAGGAGAAGCTGTACAGAACATACCGACCAAGGAACATCCTCGCAAACACCTATTACAGAGTCTGCACTCCCTCGTTACTTGTAAATAGGTCCAACAACCTTCATGTTTGCTACTGTTTGAAGATTTACATCTCAAATGCACATATGTATGACTCGTCATATTTGCAGTGATAATTATATCATTATACTTCACAGCAACTTGAGATAAGGTACTGAGACTTTTACCATGGTATATATAAGCATAAAAACCTGAAAAATAAGACTACACAATGAGTGTGCATTGTCCCATGTACAAAGGTCTACAGGTCAAACATGGGAACGCATTTTCTCATGCTCTGTATGAATAAGATCCACCGGTATGGATACAGACATGCCAGAAAACATACCTTCTGCTGCTGCAGTAACAGATCTAATAAGAACACTTTCTAGCAGAAGCAGAATGGCCTGGCACTTACAGTATGGGGTAGTAATGCACAGAAGATTTAATAACAGCAAAGGGCATTTTTTGGAGGCAATCACAGACATAGGGTACCCTCTCCATTGCCTTCTTGCTTGGTACCTGATTGAATCATAGAATCATAGAATCATTAAGGTTGGAAAAGACCTCTAAGATCACGGAGTCCAACCATCAACCCAACACCACCATGCCCACTAAATCATGTCCCTAAGCGCTTCATCTACACGTCTTTTAAATACTTCCAGGGATGGGGACTCCACCACTTCCCTGGGCAGCCTCTTCCAATGTTTCACCACTCTTTCAGTAAAGAAATTTTTCCTTACATCCAATCTAAACTTCCCCTGGTGCAACTTGAGGCCATTCCTCTTGTCCTATCGCTAGTTACTTGGGAGAAGAGACCGACACCCACCTCACTACAACCTCCTTTCAGGCAGTTGTAGAGCGCGATGAGGTCTCCCCTCAGCCTCCTTTTCTCCAGCCTAAACAACCCCAGTTCCCTCAGCCGCTCCTCATAAGACTTGTTCTCCAGACCCCTCACCAGCCTCGTTGCCCTTCTCTGGACACGCTCCAGCACCTCGACGTCCTTCTTGTAGTGAGGGGCCCAAAACTGAACACAGTATTCGAGGTGCGGCCTCACCAGGGCCGAGTACAGGGGCACGATCACTTCCCTAGTGAGCCAGCCAAAAAGCTGGCTACCCTTTAGACTAAACCTAGTGAAGTGCCAAAAAGCTGGCTACCCTTTAGACTAAAATCACTAAAATTGTGCCAATGTTAGTTACTAGACCTCACTGAAACTGTAAATACATAGAATGAACCTAAATTTCTGCAAACTACTTTCTAACCGCCAAGAAGCATTTGCTCTTCCAAATTTTCCAGCTCTTTAGAGGTGGTGTTTTCAGCTCCCAAATGCCAAGACTTTCTCTCTTTCCTATCAGAGCATGGCTCTTTTAGACCTTTACCTTCAGGACCTCTGAATGACCACAGTGGTCATTAAGCCTCCTCTGCAACACAGAACATCCCTAAATTCAGCCAGGGTTGCTCCTAAGGGTGATACAGTTCTGCAGTTGGTCCATGGGAATGACAACCAAGAGAGATGTTACTGCCAGCAGTTTCAGCTTCTCACCGAACTACCAACCCGTGGTACGCAGCAGACAAATCGACATCAGCTTGGGATTTCTGCAGACCCAGCAAAGGCAGCTGCGACCAGTCATTGTCCTAAGACTTAAAAGATAAAATTGAGAATCTCTTTTAAATTAAGGTGGAAATTCCACCCTTGTGAACTCTTTTCTGACACCCAGGTTACTATGTGCACTGCTTTACTTGATACCGTTCACAGAA